TGTGCGCAATGTGCATTTCCCCATTAATGGTCTAAACTACACTGAAAGGTCGGCAGCACCGCGGCATATGTTCATGTTGCAGCATGTACATCGACGGGCACATGAAGAAGTTGGTAAAGGCGCTAAGTGCTTTCAAAATAGCAGCGAGGTGCTGATTTTACACAATCACTACAATTTACAGACTTTGAAGAGTTGTCGTTGGAGGAGCTTGGAGCCGACCATGGCGCAACTGCAACACTATCGTCAGTTGAAGAAGCCGGCGGAATGGGTTACGAAGATACTCGATGAAAGTATCTATCGTTACAAGGACGCTTTGGTGAATAGTGTGGATCCAATTTTGAAAAAATTGTCCTATTGGTGATGATAACGAGGACAGCATAGACCTCGTTGTATGTTTGCTTAAAATGGTGCGAACCAAAATTACAAAAGTATTAAGAAAATTAATTATTACTTCTTTAAGTGCCTTAATAGATTGTTAGGAACAGATAATGCTCAAGTACAGCTGCCTTCGACTCGCCATTTCTCTGCTCGCTATCTTTGCGCACTCAATTATTGTCAGTTTGTTTAAACAACTGGCATAGCATGTTCGATGCGCTACTCTCCAACACTTGGCGAATGGAAGACAGCTAACATTATGCTTAACTTCTTATCTCTATATGCACCACGATAACCTCGCTACTTTTTAGTATTAAATTAACTAATCGAGGCATTAATTGCCGTGACCTGCTGCGGACGAGTTATTGGCAAAAAGTGTCGTCTCTCAACGAAAGTAGTCTTCTCCATAGTCGAGCCCATTATGTTGGCGTTATCGTGTGGTGATGAGCCCTAGAAAATACCACATGTGCTGCACTAAGATCCACACCAATCATGGTACATAATGCCATTGTGCATATAGCGTCCATTATATATGAAAATATATAACCACTATAAGGTTGAGAATCTTACGGAATCTCAGCAGCTTCTACTGCTTTTGTTTGTTGTTTGGAAAAAGTTGAGGTAGAAATAGAAATCAAACACCTTAGCAGATTTGTATTGGCTAAACATGCTTTGTCGACTTATAAGTTCGGATATAGGAGCTCCATTTTATGGCTTCACAAAAAACTACATAAATTGAGCATCAGCCAACGAACCTAACCTAACTTAAGCTAACATCTCTACAGTAATCTCAAAAGCCTGCAGACGTTAGAAGTCGATGACAGTTACTTTTAGGCCCTTGATATTACCCAATGCATTGCCTAGATCATGTTGGCACAGAGGCGAGCTACTTTAATTGTATAGAATTTAGTTGCTTCGTAACTGTAGCGGGTTTTCAGTACTCTAAGGTATAACGAAATAGAAAAACACTTTGCTTGTAACTAAAGGTATTTTTTTTTTGACACCGGTATTTATTTGAAGTGTGCTCAAATCGCGTAGGATTTCTTTAAAAAAAAATAAATACTATTATCTTATAATCGATAGCTAATAATTCTTCTTTTCGAACTTAATTGATAATCCATTATCTTTATACTATCTGTCAACCAATATAGTACTTTCCAGCGATAACAAAATTATTCGTGTTTCAAATAAAACATTCGAAATGTCTTCACTTAATTGCTGTCATAGCTCAGTTCGGGTTACGCTAACGCTGTTTGTCAATATTTTTATCAATCACATTTCAGCATTTTTCGTAGTTAGTGCTCTTTTATTACGCGTTCAGTACGAAAGAAGTAGCGCAGATGTCGTCGAGCAAAAAAAATTTACTACGAATCTTCGCGTTTGCATTTTGGATACTCATAATATTGTTGATACTTGCGACATATCAAATGCCATTGCAAAGCACTAAGCCGACAGGTGGCTGGTATAATGTAACGGCGGCTATAACACATCCACATTTGTTAATGAACGGCAGTAAGTTAAATAGCAGCTCATTGTAAATTATTTACGCTTTGCAATAACAGTTATTTTTTGCTCTTTAAATATTCCACCAAAGCCAGAGCAAATCAAGCGGACGACATTTTAAAACTATATGAAGCAGAATTGCCAAATGTGCCCTTCGATTTGTGGCATCGCCTGAAAGTGATGCGTCTAAATAACACTTGCGCCCGCGCGCCATCGCTGTCTGACCTGCGTTTTCACAATGATTATTGGCAGGTATTTCACAACGGCAATGTCAATTACCATCTCTTCAATGCATATTTCGATGCGCGCGCGCATGTCACACAGTCCAGCGCAGTGGTGCGAGTGCTTGCCATGTTGAATACTAAGAAACCACCGAAAAATACAATCCACTGTCAGTTGTGGTATGACAGTAATGTTAAGCCGACGATTGTACCCGTGATAGAGCAGCGGCTGGTGTGGTACTTGAAATGGAAAACCGATGCTGATTATTTGTTACACTTACTCACATGCGCAGTGCCCACGGTAACGCGGGTGGACGTCGCACCGCACGCCGTCTCCTTGGTGATGAATATTTGTGACACGGCCTCGAATATACTGCGCGTACGCTACGAACGACCGATCGGTAATGAGACACAACACGGTTTCGCGGTTTGTCTGAAGGGTTTGGATTATCCTTATGCTGATATGGGTCCGCGTTTGGTGGAGTGGTTGGAAATGCAGCGTTTGTTGGGCGCACGTAAAGTCATCACATACAAATTGGCGTTGCATCCGAATTTGGAGCGTGTGCTGGAGCATTATGTAGCTGAGGGTTTCGTTGAAGTACATCCGCTGAGTATGGGTTCGGATATGGTGAGTAAACCGCTGTATCTGCATGATTATCTGCGCGCGAGCATTGCGAACAAGCGCATAAACGAGCTGGTGCCCTACAATGATTGTTTCTATCGGAATATGTACAAGTATTCATACATTGTGACTGTCGATATTGACGAGGTGATCATGCCGCTCGGCAATCTCACCAACTGGCAACAGTTAATCGACGAAATGGAGCATTTGCGTGCATCTAGTTGTCCAGAAGGCTATGGGAGTGTTTGTGTGCGCAATGTGCATTTCCCCATTAATGGAGCCACGGTCTAAACTACACTGAAAGGTCGAGCAGCACCGCGGCATATGTTCATGTTGGCATGTTCATCGACAGGAACATGAAGAAGTTGGTAAGGCAGCTGGCTTCAAAATAGCAGCGAGGTGCTGATTTTACACAATCACTACAATTTACAGACTTTAAGAAGAGTTGTCGCTGAGAGCTGAGCCAGTACGTAACTGACCAGCAAG